GGGGTGGGGTGGGGTGGGTGGGTTATTGGTTTTCTGGGTTTTGTTTGGTTTTGAGGGTTTTTTTGTTGTTGTTTGGTTTGTTTTTTCTGCTATGAGGATGTTCAAACACTGGAACAGGCTGCCTAGAGCAGCTCTGGAATCTCCATCCTTGGAGATACTAAAAACTAGGCTGGAGAAGATCTGAGCAACTGACCTATGTGGACTTGCTTTGAGTAGGAGATTGATCTAGACGACCTGTGAAGGTCCCTTCCAACCTACGTGATTCTCCGATTCTGTGAAAAGTTTTTTATTCTTTCAAACTGTGACACAGAAGCATGAACTTTCAGGGTTCAGATTACTTCTAATATGAAAACTGTAAACCAGGTTTTTTCCAAGCTAAGCTCACTGAAAAACTTGATTTTAACTGCAGGTTTATCTTTTCTAAATGGGATACCGAACAAAGAATGGAAAAATCTCTAAGAAAATCTGTTCAGGAAAAAAAAGTCCATTCTTAATAGGTAAACTGTTACGCAGCTTTTTTTCCATCCCCCAGATTTTTCACAGGAATTGGAAGCAGAAGATTCACCATTATAAAAGGGTATTCTTATATGTCATTAAAGACACAACAAAACAATGAATTGGAAAAATTTTCACAAAACGTACAAAAAGACAGTTCTTGTAAGATTTCCAGACCAGAGAGGGTTGGATAAGTATTGCAGCCAAACATCTGAATTGTTTGAGGTTTGTCCTTTCCTCTTTAATACTATGGCCTGAAGGCATAAAAAATTAGTAGATCATTGTGACACCTTCAGAGAAAAGCAGTATTAAGATATGAAAGCACATTCACTTGTTATTCTCAATGATTCAATAAAAAAAAAAAAAACCCAAAACACAAAACCCCACAGTTAAAACCATAGACCCCCACAGAATTTCAGCTTCTTAGAACTTCTCTGGCCACTGAATTTCTGAGCCAAGTAATTAAGAGTTAGTATAAAACAAGAAGGTACATACAAATAAACAATCTGTGAAATGGGAAAAAGACTACAGTGCAAAGGACTTCATGCTGACTGGCAGCCACACACGCGCACACTGGCATCCTTCAGATTCTGCTTCCTCGGCTTTGCAGTCTTACTAACTTGCTGCGCTCGCTCTCTCATCACTATTCTCTTTAGCTGCTGTCTCAATTCCTTTGTTTCTGTGAGCTTTTACAGCAGCGTCTACGAATTTGTCTAGAATCGTGACTTCAGAAGCAACTTGACAGGCATTCAAAGAACTAGAATTTATTTCACCGTCATTTTGCTGCTAGGGAACATGCTGCAAAGAATGCAGCAATGCTGCACATGTATGTTACATGGGGCTTAGTTTGAAATGCTGGGTCCTCTGTGAATGGCACCCTCTATATTAAAATACATCTATCCCATTATCATACCATTACCAAACACCTGTGTAAATAAAGGTACAATTTGTTTTCTTTATTTACCAAGTCTTTTTTTTTCCTATTTTTAACAGAATCTTGAGATGGCTTTTAGAAGAACTCATCTGGATGCAAAAAAATCTCAGGAAATATAGATAACCTTTAAAATACTGTAGAGTAAGTTTTGTCTAAACTAATGTATAGCAGTGTCCTTAAATTCCATGGGAAAACCAAGTAGCTTATTAAATCTAGATGTAGCTCTCGACTTCAGTGGATTAACCTGACCCAAGCAAAATGGAACTTCATGGTCTGTATTTAAGCTTTAGGTAAAACTCACCAGATACACAAGATTTCTAGCAACCTCTAGTATTTCTTTTTTCCTGTGCATGTACAATTTGAGAAAATGGAAGACACGGCCGATACTACAATGCTAAGAGTACAATAGGATGAGAGCACTGGGTAGCGGAAATTCCGGCTCTGGCATCACATTGAGGCATTTAAAAAAATAAGTTTGAGATGAAAATTTATTTAAGTTTGGTCCTAATGCTGCTTCCGTAACAAATTAGCACAAGATCCAATTTTTGCCATTCTTTTAAAATATTTATTCAACAAATCTGTTTTCACCCCTCCACCCTCTCTTCCAAAACCCACACAAAGTCTGAAATACAAGATTATTTAACTAGAGGATTCATACTGGGTATATACCATTATATATCACTCTCTTTATCCTGCAGTGATGCATATCTGCCAGAATGACTAAGCCTTTGTCTCTCAAAGTTCTGGTATCCGCAGCGGCAGGGGAGTTAAAAATCAGCACAAGAGAGAAAGGTCTGATGGTGTGCCAATGTACAATGGAAGAGAATTCAATAACAAGCTGCAGAGACAGTGGGCTTTTATCAGACACATTCAAAAGTGGTGGTGGCTACATGTCAATGCTGGACCAGAGTGTGTTACTGCAGAGTGCGACTGAGTGTTTTCCCCACAGGCAATACACTATTATTGACTCCCCCCATTAACATGTAGGGTGGATATACATTTATTGAAGGTTCTAATGGAAGGCTGAGGGACTCCTATCCCGAGGCCAGAGCAGAAAGACAGCCTATCACTTCATGTAATGGTAGCCCATGTGTGACAGACCTGACCTACATTTCCCCCCTTTCTTTCTCACAACAGCCTGTCACCGTTTTAAGAAGCTATTTTCTGAGAGGTATAAAAAGAAATGCATGCTAGAGCTGCCTAGTTAATGTGTTATACTGAAATATTTTTTATAAACCTGCTTCAAAAGGACTAGTTTAGACTACAGATGAATTATGAAAGCTACTGTAACACACACGCAACCAAAAAGAATGTATCTTAACGATTCTGAAGTGCTTATAAACCCATACACATTGAACACTAGGTATCGATGAATTAATACCTGTATCTAAGATACTGCAACAAAACGTAGTATAAGACTTAAAATTAAGAACGCTTAAAGAAGCTGCCTTAATAAAATAAAAAGGGCTGAGGTCTGTAATTAGTATAAATTTCATACTCATTCAAATTATTAGGAATAACGCCACCTAATGTTTTGCTGGAAGTAATTCAATGTTTTCACTAGCTAATGTATGTGTAGCAAAAGCTATAAATAATGGATCCGCATTTGAAAGTAGGACAAGAGTGAAAGAAACATTTGGTTCAGGAATAAACAGCATTTTAAAATACCATCGAACTACCACTCCCAGACCCTGCTTATTTGAAGAGCTGCTGCCACTACAGCACTCCTTGGCAGGAACCTACCACGCTGCTGCAGGTCATACTCTTTTTTTGTCTCTTCGTTCCCTAGAATTTTCCACGCTTGATCAATTTCGATGAACCTCTGCACGCGCTCCTCCACTTCTCCTGCTGGCACATCTGCCTTCTGTTTGTCTGGATGATACTGCCAATCAAAAAAAAAAAAAAAAAAGGAAAAAAAGATAAAAAATGTTGAGGGGAGTGGAAGTGAGGAGGGTGGAAGAGGAGCAATCAATAATGCATTTGATATTCAGTTAAAAGGACAGAGAAAAGGAGAAGGTCTGAGCGAAGGTGCCAAAGGAAGGGAGACAACGATGCTGGGCACAAGAGAAAACTGCCAATTTAATTAGACCACTGAAATGGCAACAAAACCACCAGTGGCACAAATGTCACCATGCGTACTGACGGCATTTTCTGGATAATTTGCTGATAGAATCATTGGTCTTCTGGACGATTTACCTAGAGAGAATGACTACCACAAGCAGAAATAGGTACGCGCAGAGGACCACGACACAGGAACAAGAGGAGGTGCTGGAGGTGCCAGCGGCTCTCGTAACATTACACATAGCCCATTTAAACAATACCACCAATGTTTAGTTAAGTCTATTACAGATACATTCAATGCTGTACTACATGTACCTGGCTTTTTTTTTTATTATTTAAATGGTAAATAGAATATACATGATCAAATATAATTTATAACACATGTTATTCTACTTTTGAAAATATGCCTCAACATCTTTAATTTCTTCCAGTTCAGTGGATCAACAGCCCTTCCAAATATTTAAAGTCATGGATCACTGGGTACAAAATTGTGTCATTTTAGTTAAGAAATGGTTATTCAAGGACATGGCTGCAAGAAATCCCATGTTAAACAGGCAATAATAATTAAAAGGGTAACATGTTTTCTTTACCATTTGTACGAGAGGTTCTGAACTGAGCATTCTGACTTCTTTTTGGTTCAAATGTCTACAAAAAAGGAACCCTCAAAGCTCCATCTTCCTGTAGCTTTAATTCATCTCCAATAATCTCTTTTTTTGATATCTTAAATTGCTCAGCGTAAGTGATGGACCAACAGGAAGCAGCATTTAAGATGAGAAAGTTGCAATATAATCAGACCTATCAGCTGTTAACTGTGTTATAAATGAAGATATCCCTTATTCTGGAGCTTTAACTTCTGCCTTTTGTACTAACATCACACCTGGGGCACTGAAATGTACAGCAGATTTTAAGACTTAGAACACCTGTTCTACAACTGTTTGAGCAGATTTCTGATTAACTGAATCCCTTTGTTTCAGTTTATAATTAATTTTGGAAAAGAAAGAATACTAATCTCATGTGTGCTTTATAAAATCCAAAATTTAAAAGGACCACTCCTACTGGAGTTTATTTGCTCACAGATGTATGTATCTGTCATTTGCGCTGATGGGTATTACCCAGATAAATCCCCTGTACAACAACAAGATAATGCACATAAGAGCAAAATATTAAGATTTGACCTCAAGTTTTTTCACAGATATTTTTCCATATACAGATGAATGCACCTGCAACCTCAAGTATGAAGTCTGTACACAAATGTATGTTTTTGTTCCACCATACGAGTCAGTACACTTGAAGTCATCTCTGCATTCAAGACTGAGCACTAGCTTGCAAACTGCTGAAAATATGGCCAAAGCACAGTTGCGATCCTTACCGGTTTATCTCTTAGAGAACCCTTTTTTAATCTCCCCAACGGAAGGTGACAAAATTCTCAGGTGCAAACAAATAAAACATTTTTGGTCATTGCATTTAGTCATTGTATTCTAAATAGCTATTTAGAATGCAACTAATTATACCTTTATTTGGTAGGCACCAAATTCAGTGTTCTGTCAGCATGCACCACATTGTACTGTAAAAGCTATTTAAATGTATTTGTTTTCCAATCCGTTTTTCTGAAACCTTAGATTTTCCAGTTATATTTCAATTTTAATAGCATTTTTTACATTGGTGGTTGATTGTATACCACATTTGTGAAAGGCCATTTTTAAAATAAATCAATGCTTAATAAGAATACAAGGCAAAAGAGTCAGATCACATTAAAGACTTACATGCTTTCCTTTTAGCAATGTTTTTATTTTAACAATTATGTTTGAGGTCTGCATCCAGCAGTTACTCCTCGAAGCAGTATTTTATCTAGGAAATGATACGTCATTATTTTAAAATACTTCAGATGCTATATTTAAAATTTGGACCCACCCCTAGTACCATAGGGTTAAATATAATACCTAAAGAGATTTTATACGACTGCTGTATATTTCACCCTGTTTGGCTGATACGGTAAGCATTCTCCTACAAGCTCACTTCCAAAAGGATGTAAAGGCCTATCCAAGGAATATTTTACCAGACTTAGTACCACTGAAACTTAACTGGATTTGAATAGCACTGCCAGAAAGCTGTTGCTAGTAGTGTTATGTGTTTGGATTGGCCACAAGACCACACCTGCTCAGATCAGTTACTTACAGATACATGAAAACATTACTGACCAATTGCCCAAAACAGCACTAAGAATACCAGCTTCCCTCCTGCTAAGAACGTTGAGAAAACACCCCCACAAAATTGGTCGCTCCTTTCCTTTGCTACACCAAAACTTTGCTCGATTGAAAAATAATTTTGGACTATACTGGAAGTAATCAGTGAAAAACAGTAAGCTGCAAGTGTCACAGAAGTACTTTGGAAAAACAATAATCAATGCAGAAAAGGCTATTCTGTTCATTTTTTGAATAATGCAGAAAATTCATTATTCTGCAGATTTATCACTTAGCTTTTAACTTCTTTCATATAGATTTGGAAAATTTAATATTTGTAGCATATGCAATTTTTATATTCGAAAGACTACAATTTCATGTAAGTAATAACTACATTGTAGGGGATCTATTAATTAAAAAAAAAATCCATTTTGGTCTCCATGCTTTCTGAAATGATTTGTTCCTTCCTCTGTTGGGCTTGTTCCTCTGTTACCATCCGACACCTTTAGTAGTCTATGTCTACACTAAGAAAAATCCTCAAATGTCTGCTCTTTGTTCTAATCCCCCCCCCCCGCCAGTGACCCTCATTTCATCTGAATTCTTATGTACCTGTTCTTATTGACTCCCTTTTCCTACTCTTCAGCTTGCTGATCAAAATCCAAGAATGCTGGTCTGCAGTGAAAATCCACTCTTGATTCAACTGCCCATACCCTTCTCTTCCATCTCTGAGACAACAAACAGAGGTGTCCTCTCTCCAGCTGTTCCAAACCCTGTTCAGCCAGCTCAGACACCAACCACAGAGGAAACTTTACCGAAGTTTCAACCAACCAACCTACTAGTAGCTGAAGGTTAAAGACAGCACTCTGTCCTTCATCAATACTTCAGACATTAATCAACCATATTTTGGTATCTTGCCCCATTCTTGGTTGCCACATTCTTGCTTCTGAATCTCCTCCCCCTCCAGCACACCCTTCAGAGGAGCTGCTTCAACACAAGCCAGGGGTTTGGTTTGGTTTTGAGGGAGATGAAATATGATGTACATTTCTGATCTCCTCCTCTTTTCCCATTCGGGCTTATTTGTGGGTTAAGCTCAGCTGTAACCATGCACAAGCTCTGCAATGAAAACAGACCAGCCTGTTTTCTACTCGACCTATCTCCTTCTACTCAAACTGAACTATTATTGTTCATCTCTCCCTCTATGCATCCAGTTGTAAGTTCTTACTCCAAATGTTAGAGCCCCCCAATGTCTCCTGCAGTATCACTTCTCAAAATCTGTGCAAATTGTCTTCATATCATTCATACCTGCCACCTGAGCACTATTTTCAGCTATATTACTGCACGTAGGATACATTTAAATCTTTCTGGCTGCACATGCGTAACATTTTTAAGAAGCAATACTTCCATAAAAATAGCTTTTCACTGAGCTGTCTTTATTTTTGAACACAGTAGCAATTTTTACTAACATATTATGACTTAATAGGACATTATAAAAACCATAAAGGATATTTTCCTGAGTTTGATAGAGGGAGGGGAAAAGGAAGAAGGTTAGAGATGTATGCCCAAACTAGTTTTCCTTTTTTACACCTCTACTAGAAGTAATTTGCTAACTTCCTTCCATTACTAAAGACTGTCTGGAATTTGTATAACTTTACAGCATACGATGCTTTGTAGTTACTGTGTGTGTTAAAAAATAAACTGATTGATACTGGAAATATATTAGTTCATCTGTTAACTATAAAAAAATACCTTGCACATACACGTGATACTGCTTGCTCCCCTAACGTTTATCTTAAATATCACATTGTCACAGTACTTCTTGAGGACTCTGGCTCTTGGTGTAAGGGTTTATTTTTTTTTTTTTTAGGGTTTTGGTTTGTTTGTTTTAGTTTTTACAATCACCAGGAAAAGCTTGAAAAAGCACAAACCTTGAAGTCCAAAGCTCAAATGAAAACCACACTTTAAACATTATCTGTTGGAGACTTGGTGAAATTTTTAGTACTGTACTTTTCAGCAGTTTGGGTACAGTGGAGAACAGCATATCACCTGGCAAACATGCTCTGAAACACAGATACAGGTTCAGTTCATAGTTATATAAGTATCCAAAAGTTTAGAAATTTTTCATTAAATGTCTTAGTTTAGGTAAATTAATGGTATTTCATTATACTAATCTATTGCTTTTGATACCTACTACAAAATAAAGAACACGCAAGTGAGCAAACATCTTCTGTGTCAGAAAAAAGGTGTCAACGTTGTTGTATTCATCAAATAATTAAAAGTTAGACTCTGAAAACTGAGTTCCATCATATATTTTATTCATACAGTGATATTTTTATTTATACAGTGTACCACACATGGTTTTCACTCACTGGCTTTGTATAAGAATTTGGAACACACTACAGCACATTCAACTGCTACATTCTTTATTTCCGCCTTCTTTATACTCCATGAAGTCTGGTCCCTTCTGCACCCTGGAAGTTCATAAAGACCAGTTGGTCAATAACTGTAATGGTATTACATCTCAATAAGCATACCAACAGACCTTAAGAACTCTCATACCACAAGATGAGAAACTACGATAGCCGGCTGAGCTTTGGTTGAGCAAATCAAGCAACACAGAGATGACACACTAAGGTCCCTATCC